GATATATTTACATGAGGGTCCAGTCACTGGAGAAAGAGATTATGCTTGGTAAAGTGGAGGGTCAGCAAAAAAAATTAACCCCAACAAGATGGATTGGCACAGTGGCAGCAATAATGGCCTTAAGCATGGCAATGATTGTGAGGTTGGTGGAGGACTGGGTAGTGTCTTGTTCTGATGTGCATAAAGTCACTATGAGTCAATACCAACTGGATAGCACATAACAGCAACACACTAGGCACCATTCTAAATATTTTACATGTATTATCACATGTAACCCTACAATGGGTACCATTATCATCCCCTCTTTGCATATGTGGAAACTGAAACATATGGGGTCTGAGAAACTTGCCCAATGTTGCATAGTTATTAAGTAAATGAGCCCTAACTGACACTTATAACTACAACATTCTGCAGCTTTCTCTCCCGACACTAAGATCATTCATTTCCTAACCACAGCCATAGACAGGCTGCTCTGCCTCTGCAGGTGACTTTCCCTACCTAGGTCACAGACGCCATGATCACAAGAGACAGCAAGATGAGCTGGTTTGGTTGCCATCTTGGCTGAAGCTACTAATTCTAATCCTCTGGGAAATGAGAGGTCAAAGCATCTCTTATTCTCCACTATTATCTATTTAAATATTTTCCTACGTAACACAAACATATTGATAAGGATGAGTTTCCTGAGCCTGGAAGACCATATAAGCATAATGAGCCGTGGATAACAGAAACTGTTTGCTTCTGGGTTTCTAGCCCATTTGGATCCACACATCTATTGCTATGTTGGTCATTGGCTTTCTAGGAAAAAGACTTACAAGAACTTACTTCATGAACCTGCAACTGCAAGGCAAGTTTCATTGTTGCTGAACTCCCTATGTTTGTAGTCTAGAAATTCTCTGCTTTAATATGATGTACATTTAAACTAGCTTTAACTCAACTTAGAGTTCAGATCAAATGACTTTTAGGATATGCTTCATCTGATCACCAGGAAATTAAGATCAGCAAATTTGGAGTATAGATACTGGAAGAGAGATGTCCTTCAAAAATTAGTCTTGTCCTTGTACATTAATATATTTTAAAGGCTAAAACTCTGGAAGTTTTCTGATGAAAGAAACCCATTATCTGAACTGGGATGCTGTGTTCCCACAATCAGGTTGGTGTTCGCCTATAGAACAAACACAAACTCAGCCCATGAGTTCAGTTTTATTTAAGAGGTTTCTCTAAGTGATCATTTTTAAATGACTAACTGAAGTAAAGAAATATTAGGCTTAAGCTGAAAATAGACAAGCCTGAAAAGCAGCGGTTAGTTATGTGTCTGTGCTTTCTAATTCCCTGCAACATGTTCTCTGCCAATTAAGATGCTGGGTCACAGAATGACTCTGAACCTTCATCTCCAAATGTACTCAGAGAGGTAGGTAAAACTTGTGACTTTCCTATTAGTATTTTTCTCTCAAGATGACACATTAGGTCTTCAACTTGAAAGTGAGTTCAATATTAAAAGTTATCGATTTTTATACAGAATGACAACATTACCCAGTCAACCTAGAAAAATAGTCACTCAAGTAGTTATGGACCCAGCCTTGAAATTAAAAAGAAATGAAACTTATTTTATTAAATCATTGAACTGATTGAAAGGTAGAAAAATCCCTTTATAGAAAATGTATGTCAGAAAAATGCTAACTGAAAAAATTACTTTTAATCCTCTAATTCAGATAAACACTATTCATTTCAAAGTACTTATTTCACATACTTTTCCCTCTAAACATTATTTAGACATTTGAGAACAAAATACATATGTAAATCTTACATAGACATTTAAATTAATTTCCTTTTACTATCATAAAAGAGTTATGAAATATAAACTATATACATAATATTATCCATATTTTTAATCTAGATTCCAGGTGTCCTATACCAAGGGACATAACTAATTATAAAGCCCTCAGAATACAAAGTAATTTCTTTCCAGAATATTATCTATTAATACACATATGGGCACTAGATAAAATAACTGTTATAAATCTTTGACAATTTGCTAGAGAAAAACTTTCATTATATTTAAAGTGTTTTTCCTTAATAATTTATGAGAGGATATTTTAAACGTCAAATGTCTTCTAAGATTTACATTTCTTTACTTTTGTTCTTATAGTGATGTTAGTAG